GTAATTATCCCACTTTTGGATAAATAGCAGGACAAACACTTCGTGTACACCAAATTAGTGGCAAGACCATGGTTCTAAGTGAGCATTAAAATAATAGTTATCCCCCCCCCCCCTCCTAAGTACCATTGGTCTTCAACAAGTTATAAGCTCTCCCTAATTTTTTTTTCCAGCAAATGATGTAGCTGCGAAATCGAAAAATATAACTTCTGCAGATGACATTCTCTCACAAGAACAACAAGGTACTGATCTTACCCAACAAATTCATACAGTTATTTCTTAGACCAAATGTAGAACCATTTATATATTTTTTATAATTGCAGGAATCCATGGAGAAAATAATAAAAGGGTCTCTTGTCGAGAGTATAGTTGTTACAGGCTACAAATAAGAAACCCACGACAATCCACATTGTTGTTTGCAGGACGTCTACTCCAACAATACGTTGTCGACATGTACATAAAATTAGAGACAACAAGGTTAGATTACTGTAGACATAATCAGTCTAATTTGAGATCTGAGTTAAACCAAGGTACCAAGGAATCATGAAAAGTATACAACAAGGAGAGACAAGAGGCAGCGAGGTTGGAAAAAGAATTATTCTACCAGCATCTTTTATCGGAGGTCCGAGAGATATGCGTCGTAGATATCTTGATGCATTGGCGTTAATCAAAAGGTTTGTAAAACCTGATTTTTTTTATTACAATGACTTGCAATCCAGAGTGGGCAGAAATACAATAAAATTTGTACCCTGGTCAAAAGGCTTAGGATCGACCTGATTTAACCTCAAGAGTCTTTCGAGTAAAATTGCAAGATTTAAAAGATCAGTTGTTTAAAAAAGAGATACTTGGAAAAGTGGTTGCACATGCCCACGTGATTGAATTCCAAAAAAGAGGACTTCCACATGCTCATATGTTGATTACACTGAAGTCGGAGTATAAAATTACAACTCCAGATACCTATGATAGGTTCGTGAGTGCGGAACTTCCAGATCCAGAAAAACATCCTGCACTTCATGCCTTGGTTATGAAACATATGATGCATGGACCATGTGGAGCAAAGAACAAGAGTTATTCTTGTATGGTTGATGAAAAATGCAAATATCATTATCCACGACCATATTGTGAAAGCACGATTCAAGGCAAAGATGGATATCCGATATATAGAAGGAGAAGAAATGGAATTACTGTCCAAGTTCGCAGAGCTCATCTAAATAACCAGTGGGTAGTACCATATAACCCATATCTTTTGTCCATATATAATTGTCATATAAATGTTGAGATATGTTCTGGAGTGACAACAGTTAAGTATCTATACAACTATATCTACAAAGGGCATGAAAGAGTGGCTGTTAATATCTCACTGAATGAAGAAGAAAATAATATTGATGAGATCAAAGAATATCAAGATGCACGATGGGTCTCAACTCAAGAAGCCATTTGGAGAATTTACGAATTCAATTTGAATGAAATATCTCCACCATTCATTGACCTCCATCTTCATCTACCTAACCAACAATGTGTCAGTTACTTGGCAAATCAAAATTTGAGCAATGTCCTCGAATGGGACCATGTGTCTAAGACAATGCTCACCGAGTATTTTTCAATGTGTTCGAGAAGTGAAAGAGCGCGAAAATACCTTTTCAAGGAGTTCCCAGAATATTACGTATGGAACAAGCAAGGTAGATGTTGGTCTGAAAGAAAGAAAAGAGATGTGATAGGGCGTTTACATGGTGCAAATCCTATGGAAGGAGAACGGTATTATCTTCGATTACTATTGAATCATGTAAGAGGTCCAACATCTTTTCTAGATCTTTTATCAGTTAATGGAATACGATGTGCTAACTTCAAAGAAGCATCACAAAAAAGAGGCTTAGTCGAGTCTAATCAAAGCGTTATTGAATGTTTAAATGAAGCCATCACTTTTCAAATGCCTCATGAAATGTGTCGATTATTTGCAACCGTCTTGGTATATTGTGCTCCAACAGATGTGAGAGTTCTCTCGGACACATATTTTGAAGCAATGTCAGAGGACTTTAAAATAAGATGATACATCAAAGGAGAGACAAATTACGAGAACTCTCCAAAGTGTGAATTATTTTTTGGAGAGCATGAGGAAAAAATTGGAATCATGTGATCTTCCAAGTGCTCCAATTGATACTAACCACATGACTACAAATCTGTCAAGAGAGATAGAAGATGGGTTGTCAGTAGAAATACCTTCTGAAGATTACGAGGCCGAGAAAAAACTGAATAAAGAACAACAATATGCCTTCAAAGTAATCTTAGAATTCATACACAAAGGTAAAGCCGGTATGTTCTTCATTGATGGCCCAGGGGGAACTGGAAAAAAATTCTTATATCGTGCATTGTTAGCTCATTTAAGATCTAGAATAAAATATCCATTGCAACAGCGACATCTGGAGTTGCCGCTGCAATAATGTCTGGCGGAAGAACAACTCATTCACGTTTCAAAATACCAATCGATGCAAATGAGTCCAGTGATTGCAATATATCAAAGCAAAGTGGAGTGATTAATCTATTGCGTACAAAAAAATTAATTATATGGGATGAAGCTCCGATGGCAAAAAGATGGGCTATTAAGAATGTTGATAAGTTATTCAAGGACATAATGGGAAATGATGAACATTTCGGGGGTAAAGTCGTGGTCTTTGGTGGTGATTATAGGCAAGTACTACCCGTGGTTCCAAGGGGTACAATTCACCAAACTATTTCTGCCAGTTTCGTGAAATCAAGGCTATGGCATAAAATGATAAAATTTTCTTTGTCTAAGAATATGAGAGCGCAAAAAGATCCTGAATTCGGTGATTTCTTACTTTGAGTTGGAAATGGAGAGGAAACCTCCGATATTGACAATGGTCAGGTATGACAATGAAAAGGACTCCATGGTACGTCTTATTGATTCAATTTTCCCGAGCTTGAGTGTAATGCTGAATCATCTACTTACATGACAACTCGAGCGATATTAGCATCTAAAAATGAGGAAGTTGATAAATTGAATGATAAGTTAATTTCTATGTTTCCTGGAGAAGCAAGAACATTTCAAATTTTCGATGAGGCTATCGATGATACAAATAATAACTATGAAAAAGATTTTCTCAATTCTTTGACTCCAAATGGCTTACCTCCGCATAAGTTGGTCTTGAAGAGAAATTGTCCAATAATCATCCTAAGGAATTTGGACCCATCAAATGGATTGTGCAATGGAACAAGAATGGTGTGTAGGAATTTCAAATCCAATGTCATTGATGCGGAAATAGTATTTGGCCAACACGTCGGAAAACATGTTTTCATTCCTAGAATACCACTTTCGCCAGCTGAAAATGAGGGTTATCCTTTCAAATTCAAGCGTAAGCAATTTCCGATTAGACTTTGCTTCGCTATGACAATCAACAAAGCACATGACCAAAAAATTCCTAATATAGGAGTCTATTTGCCTCAACCAGTGTTCTCTCATGGCCAACTATATGTAGCTCTATCAAGAGGAACTTTATCATCGACAACAAAATTTCTAATAAAGCCGGATACCAACAATGTTCGAGAAAAAAGGGCGACAAAAAATGTTGTTTACAAAGAAGTTCTAAATGCAGGTAAAATAATTTTTCCATACATATATAATGTGTGTGTATATATATATATATATATATATATATATAATGTATGAATATTATAAGATAGTAACTAATGGTATTATGTTTATTAGGAGGCTCATCAAAGAGGCTACAAAATGAAGAAAATGAGGTTATTTAAAATCTTCCATCTTTTTTCTTGCAATAGACACTACAGTGTTTAATTCCCCATGAATATACTTTATCTTGTTTAAAGTGTATATTTAATACAATTTATGATTCCTTATTCCTTTTCTTTTTTCTGTTTGTCTTTAATCTCGAATACAAATTCGATGAAACCTTCTATGTGACTTAAATTATTTATTTTGATTCTCCGATAGCTGCCTCAGATCATTATATGGAATTGGTTCACCGACAGAGAGAACATGATCGTGATTTTTTATAATCTATTAGTACAATATTAGAATTAACTAAATTACCTAATTCGAAAAAACCTTATTTATGACACAATTTTCAAATTTAAAATAAAAAAATATATTTTAGTATGTTATTTTCAATTTGTATTAGTACAAAATTCATTTTTTAGTGTATTAGTATTAATGCATCGATGTGTTCATTTATTGGAATATAAAATTTAAATACAATTTTTGGCTTCAATCTCCTGGTTATTCGACATGGAGTGCCAAAATTGAAGATTATGTTCACCCGATCATTTATTTTTGTTAGAATCCTTTGGATTCTGACTTTGCAAGTAAACGTGTAAAAGAGTTGTATCACAAGTCTAGATATGCCGTGATATAAGAACGGGAGTTTCCTTGTGTTTTAATTCTTTTTAATTTGTCATTAATTGATTAATATTAGGAATTATCTTTAGACAAAGAGTTTTCTTATTTTACAACTTATGTCTCCTACGTGAATAAGAATCCCTAACCTAATGGATTTTATTTCCTTGGTGTTTTAATAGTTAAGGGAATTAGTTTTTAGATAAGGAATGATCTAGTTGTATTTTCCTATACAACTCTTCTTAACGTGAATAACAGATCCAATTAGATTTGTATTTTCTTGTGCAGGAAGAATTATGAACGTATAAAGAGGGCTTCAAGCATCATTATTGGTGTGCTTTTTTGGAGAGAAAAATATTTCTCTTTTCTTTGTTGCTCTTCCGGAGTTTTTTTATCGAGAGAAAAAATTCACATAGAAAATATTATTTTCTCTCATTTTTATTGCTCTATCGTGATACGTAATTTTCATAGAAAATATACTGTCTTCAAGGCTTTGTGGTGAAGACACCAAGATTCAAGGAGTATCACAAGTTTGCTTCTTCTATATAAAAAGAAGATCGGTTCTTCGGGAGAGGGGCTTAAACAGATCTCGGGAGGATCGATCAGCCGACTGAGGGATTCAGCGTTGAAGGGAGTTCAACCGTGCGGAGCAAGGGACGTGCTGCAAATTGAAGATTTATAATTTAGCGTAGTATACAAGAACGACGTCAACAAAGAGGGAGTCTTTGTATTTTGATTAAGTCCTACTATTGTATTCGTAAAACTAAAAATTAGTAAATTTTATTTGCAGGTCCCCGTGGATGTAGGGTACAATTGTATCCGAACCACATTAAATTTGTGTCTCGTTTATTTCTGTTTTTACGAACTGCTTCACGAACTGTTGCAACACTTCACACAACAGTAGCAAAAAACTGAATCTGACACAAATAATTTATATCTGCACGAAATAAATTCTAACAATTGGCATCAAGAGCCTGTCACTAGATATACTTAGTGAGATTTTGGAATTTAATTCTTTATTTGTTTTGTGCAGATATGCTTCATCGTGAATGAGCGTCTACAGTACGACCACCTCTCTTGGATGGATCAAATTACTCTTACTGGAAATCGAAGATGAAGATGTTCATCAAGTCCGTTGATGAACGAGCTTGGCGTGCTATCGTGACTGGTTGGACCCCGCCCATGGCTAAAGGAACGGATAGTATGCAAACGGTAAAACTAGAAGAAGCATGGACTAATGTAGAGATATTACTTGCCAATTACAACTCAAGGGCGATGAACTCAATTTTCAGTGGCGTTGGTGACAATCAGTTCAAACTGATAGCATCGTGTGAATCAGCAAAAAGGGCATGGGAGATCCTACAAGTGTCGTATGAAGGCACATCAGCTGTTCTTAGTGTATGTGTTGCAAAATATCTTTAGATCAACAGAAAAAGAAATATAAAACACAAGTAAGCACATAATTACCGGACCGACCGAGTCTTCACGCTTCGAGGGTTTCGAATTCCGGTTCGGTGCTCGTATAGAGTTTCTACAAATTTTGCTCTGATACCATGTCTGTGACACCCCCTAGATTTTATGTAGCAAACCGAGAGGGTTTGCCGTGCACGGAAGCTTTAGACGTATTATACGGGTATTTAAATAGGTGAGTAGACTCCAAGGCTTGGTGAAGTATTATTTATCTCATGACCTAAGGATTTAGACGGAGTGGGCTTCGGAAGAATTTTCGGCGGAATGATTTAGTGGGTGGAGGAGTGATTGTCTAACTACCCGACTAATCGGTGATATAGGCTATGAGTGGTGTCACCTTGATAAAACACAAGAATAATAGGTTAAAGTCCATAATTAAACAATATATTAATTTTACATAAATGGACCATAGTTTAACAAAAAGGGGCCCATCTTCGGAGGAATATGCCTCCTCTACCACGGATAATAATACACATGGGCTACTACGGAAATAGAAATTGTTCTAAGAACAATATACACAAAAGATAGTACTACAAGCATTATAAGTAGATCCTCCATGCGAACCAAAAACCCGGAATCGGCCTCTCGAACCGTCGACTAGTCCAATCCGGTGGAGTGAGTAGTACTAGTACCTGCAAACGGAGAATATCTATATGAGCTAACAAAGCTCAGTAAGGTTATCGAAAGATACCGAGAATTTAAAATATTGTCATACTACATATACTATATCATAATAGCACAAGCACAACAACATTTAACACAATTTACATTTCTACGACATACAACTCATTAACTATAGAAACATAAAGAATCTTCGTTTTATCGGATCCGATGAGAAATTAACTTTTGTACTTAGAAAACAAGAAGATTATTCTGAGCCCGTTTTAGTGGAATCAAACCACTCATCTGTAGTATCTATGGTTGGAATACCGGCCCCCCGTATCCATTCTCATCCTTTCTAAGTATTTCATTAATTCCCCAAATTATTTCGTTTAATATCAAAAATGGCATAGTCGAATTATTGGAAATCTCCTTTGAGTACCTAAAGAATGACAATAATTCATAATCACCCATAATAATTTAGAACATCACAAATATCAATCAAGTGACAAATAAACACATATTTCACATAAGCTTGGCCTTTATCGAAAAGCACATTAAGCATACTTACCCAAAAATAACACACAAACCATTCAAGACCAATCCATCTTCTATATTTCCCTAAGCTACTTGATTCCAAATCTTATTACTAATTGACTCTAGGATTAAGGGAAAACATGCTAGTTTAGGAGGTTTCGGGTATTCAGCACAACAACCCTGAACTTCTGAAAATTACAGTTCTGCCCCCAAAGTTTAAGACTCACACATGCAATATGATCTAAAGTTCAAAAATCCATACTTTCACGAAAATCAACCCTTAACTTGGTGGAAATTCAATTTAATGCAGAAAACTCAGTTAGAAATGATTTGATGCAGAATTTCCGGAAATTACATAATTCACCCTAGCTTCTCTAGATCTACACATGCAAGACCTCTAAAAATGCACAAATTCCATTTTCTAGTAAGACCTTTTAAAAACCGAATATTACCCTTTACTAAATGCTGGAAAACAGACTTGGAACTCCAATTGAAACTAATCTCTCGAAAATTACAGATTTACCCCAAAACTCTTCCAATTTCCACATGCAACAACACTAACATTTCAAAATCCATTTTTTCATGAAAAACCCCTAAAATCCGAAATCTTTACTCAAAATATGCAGAAAATGAAGTCCAGATTTTAATCTATGCAACAACTTTGAAAATTCCATTTTCCACCACAAAACTTTTAGATCCATACATGCAAGACCACTAGGAGTTCAAAAATTACCCTTTTTCTTAGAAATTTCCTCAATCTGAAATTTCCGTTTAATAAATGCTAAAAACCAGTTTTGAAAACTCATATGAATCTGACTTCTCACAAATTACAGATCTGGCCCGAAAATATGCAGATTTACACATGCAACCCCAAAACTTTTTCCCAATTTAATTTCTTCATCATTTTCGAAATAACTGAAATTTCTTTGAAAGAAATCAACTCAAATCTACCATTTAAGACATCTGATCATACATGCAATAACATAAATCATACGGATTAACAACAAGAAACAATTAAATGCAAGAACAACACAAATAAGAATTAGGGGTGTCTTTTAATTAATTTCGAAGTTTTGTTCTTAATACTTGATACCTCCATTTGCAGCAAGGATTTCGATTCCTTACCTCAAAACAGAAAGGAAATAAAAGGCTAGATGAAAAGGGGAAAGGTTCTTGGGAACCTTCAAAGAAAAACCGAAAGTTAGAAGGGGAAGAACAAAGAAGAAAGAAGAGGTGGAAGAACTTGGAATGGCAGCTTCTTACCTTCTTCAAGCTTGAAGATTCAGCCAAGCTACCTTGATATGGAAGGACACGGTATAGATTTCAAGGTGAGAAGTGTTTTCATTAGTGAAGGGGCACCATGTATTTATAGTGTTCTTGGAGAATTCAAGAGCAAGGGTGAGATAGGGAATTCTCATTGTTGGTTTGAGAAGTATCTTGCTGATTTGGGGGGTGGTTCGAGCTTGGTGGAGCTGTTATCAATGGTGGTTTAAGGGAGGAAAGAATAAGGAAGAAGGAGGGGGTCTTGGTGCAGCCGAAATGAGGGGGAGAGAAGGACTCTTGACCTTCTAATTAAGCATGCTAGAGATGGAGTGTAGGATTGGGTTAATAGGGGTTAGGCTAGGCTTAGGATAATCATTTATTTATTTTCTAATTATTTAATAATCCACCCCTAATTACACACACATATACACGGCACACACATAAATATATATATTCATATATATTATAAATTATGGTAATTTTCTAATATGCATGCATAATTACCGAAACACATAGGCACACAAGGTCACGTAATAAATTTGATATCTAATAATTGGATATCGATAATTCACGTATAGCCCCATTATCGGTAAAATTTAGCATTTACGTGACTAGGGTTTTATTATCGTGTTTTGAACACGTGGGGTGTTACAATCTTCCCCCCTTTAAAAATTTTGTCCCCAAAATTTGTTACATGTCCCGAATAATTCGGGATAGCGACTTCTCATTTCTGATTCGCGTTCCCATGTAGCTTCTTCGGGTGTGTGGTTGAGCCACTGCACCTTGACTAGATGAATCTCGCGGTTTCGGAGTGTCTTGGTTTTGGAGTCGAGGATTCGGAGAGGTCTTTCTTCGTAGGAAAGGTTTGGGCTCAGCTCAATAGGTTCGGCCTTGAGAACGTGGTCGGGGCTGGGGACGTACTTGCGAAGCATGGAGACGTGGAATACGTTATGGATTCGGGATAGGTTAGGTGGAAGTGCTAGACGGTAGGCGCGACTGCCTACTCTTTCGAGTATTTCGAATGGACCGATATATCGCGGAGATAGCTTGCCTCGGTTTCCGAATCGCAAAACTCCTTTAAAAGGAGCTACCTTTAGGAATACCAATCCTCCGACTTCGAATTCCAAATCTCGCCTTCTATTATTAGCGTAGCTTTGTTGTCGGTTTTGGGCGACTCGCATATTTTCTCGGATGCCTCGAACTAGGTTCACCGTTTGTTGAACTAAGTCGGGCCCGAGAAGTTTTCTCTCTCCAACTTCGTCCCAGTAGAGGGGAGATCGGCACTTCCGTCCGTAGAGTGCTTCGTAGGGCGCCATTCCGATTGATGATTGGAAGCTATTATTATATGCAAATTCGATCAACGGTAGTCTAGATTCCCAGTTGCCTCCAAAGTCGAGTATACAGGCTCGAAGTAGATCCTCAAGGGTTTTAATCGTGCGTTCTGACTGGCCATCGGTTTGGGGATGAAAGGCCGTGCTGAACGATAATTTGGTCCCAAGAGTCCCTTGCAAACTTTTCCAGAATTTTGAGGTGAACCGTGGGTCTCGATCTGAAATAATAGTCGTCGGAATCCCATGGAGTCGAACGATTTCTCGCATATAGAGTTCTGCGAGTTTATCTAGGCTAAACGTCTTGCGGATCGGAAGAAAATGGGCTGATTTGGTTAACCGGTCGATAATTACCCAAATAGAATCGGATCCGCGTTGGGTTCTTGGAAATCCTTGAACAAAATCCATCGTTATTACTTCCCATTTCCATTCGGGGATTGAATTTGGTTGAAGTAATCCTCCGGGTCGTTGGTGTTCGGTCTTGATCTGCTGGCAGGTGAGGCATTGGGCGACGAATCGGGCTATATCTTCCTTCATTCTCGGCCACCAATAAAGTTTCTTCAAGTCTTGGTACATTTTGGTTGATCCGGGATGACAAGTATATGTGGTTTGATGTGCCTCGGCTAAGAGGAGTCGTTTGATTTCGGTATTGTCGGGTATGCAGGTGCGGTTGTGGAATTGGAGAAAACCGTCTTTGGAGATTCGGAAATTGGGGTTTGCTTCGAGGTTGGTGCGAATTTTCTGAAGTTGGGGGTCTTGATCTTGGGCTGTCCTCACGCGGTCTCGAAATTCTGATTCAACCACTAGGGCGTTTATCGACTTCCGACTAAGGGCATCTGCCACAACATTCGCCTTCCCAGGGTGGTATAGGAATTCACAGTCGTAATATTTAACCAGATCTAGCCATCTTCGCTGCCTC